TGCTACTCATCTATGGTCCATTGAAGTTAGGGTGATCTCAGCCACTTCCTATATGAATATAACGCTCCATATGCATATCAACATAATTGCAATAAACTAAATACCTTTGCAAACCCATCATGTGAAGTTACTTCTTGCAAACAACACAGAAATTAATTTAGAAAAATAACACCATTATTAGGAAATGTCTGCACGTGGCATCAGAAAAAAAAAACAAAAAAAAAACAAATATATATCAACAATAAAATCATAAACGAAAATAATGGAAAATTATAAATAAATAATATAAATAACAGAATGTTAAACTACACGTTTGGCATAGTCACTGCTCCGCCGTCACACGCATCATCTTATTGGCCCAACATCAGGGCACATCGGGATCATACCCCCTGGTTTCGGCAATCAGTTTCGTCTCCGGCGGGGGCCTCTTGGCTTGCTACCATGGGAGCTGCTCGGGATCGCGCCCGCCTCCGGGGTGGGGGTGGGGTGCCACTTGCGATTTAAAAACACTGGACCCCTAAACTTTTTTATGCGGAATTGGAATATCACGCACAAAAAAAAAGGTAGATTTTGTTTGAAACATTTTCCGTTGTTTTCAGTGAGATGGGCTGTTTATGGGTAGAAAACAACTTTTTCGCAGTCTGGTGAAATTGCCAGGGTGTTAGAAAAACTGATGGGGTTGTATGTATAGACATCTTATCTAATGTGTGAGACAAGAGTGAGATATCTAGAGTGAGGAGCGGGAGGGGGGATACATTATATTATAATAATAATATACTATTATATATATATACTGATATTTATATATATATATATATAATAATATATATATATTTATTGTGAATATAATCAAATGACACATATTGGTAAATAGTAAGTATATAGAAAATAGTCATAGCAGTATAGTGGGGATAAAATTTGAACTAATCATGAAGATGTATATATTAGGTTAAGGAAAGAAATTTTGTGTTAAAGAAAATGGAGGAGATTTCAATTTTTTGTTAATTCCGCTTTTTTTACATTTAAAGTTAATTATTTTTGGCGTCTATTTCAACTACAATATTGAAGGATAGAGTATTTTATTTTAATAGAACTTTCTTAAGACAGATTTTAATTATGTCGTTTTCGAAATATTCGTAACTCTTTCGTACTTTTTCGAAATTGAGTTTCTTCGCATAATTTTGTGTGAACCGGGACATTTTCATTTTACCTAAAATTAGTTCCAAGGTATATTTCAATTTCTCTTGTATGTTTAAAAAATGGTAAAAAATGTTGCTAGATTGTTTTCTGCGCGAATCACTGATTTTCGAACATGGAAAACATTATTTAAAAACTACAATTTGAAGGTAGAGATTTGGCTTTAACAAACCGTTATAAGAATTACCTATTAAAAAGGTATTGTATATTTGTTTCAATTTTTCGTGGAATTTTGTGCTTGAAATATGCAAATTTATAAAACCAACTTTTCTTGTAAAAAGCGCTCCAATTTCAGTTATCCAAACTCGTTTTTAAATTTATATCACGGAATAAAAAGGAACCCGAAAAAAATAGCACAGGTATCCTTTGTTGACTCTTTGCATTTTGGAAATGAATATTGAAATATGCTGAGAAAGTATATATGTTGCAGCACCACCAGTTTATTCATATTAACTTAAATATCTTTGATTGGCGTGTCTAAAGATTCTGATGTTCAGAAAACCTCAAAATGAATTCATTTCTTCATTTTACTATTAAATAATAAAATATAATAAAAATAAAAAATTTAATATAATTAAAATAAAATTAAATAAAAATTACAATAATATATATAAAATATAAAATTAAAAAGTGGGAAATTGTTTAAGATTTTAGAAACATATGCGGATAATACTGAGCTCATATTTTGTCAACGCGCATGAATTCCTTCCGACTCCTATGAAGCTCTGTTCTCCCGCTCGGTCCTCCTCCCGTCAGAGGACTCCATCTTTTCCCCTCTTTGTTGCTTCTAGGCTGTCGCTCGTTCATTTGACGTGGAACGTCGTGGGGGCAGCTTGCAGGTCGGTAACTCTCAAAAATCGGGACAAGTAGAGTTTGCTACTAGGTGAGCTGGTTGTCGCGAGGATCGCTGCGGGAAGGCGCGCCAACTTTCGCGAAATAATTGGTCAAGAAATAGAATCATTTGATTATGAAAGATTCTGAAAAAAAAAATTTAAAAAGTTAAATACTAGTGTTTTATCTTCTAAATTAATTTTTCATAATAATACACCATGAAAGGAAAGGTAGGCGCGCACAGCAGGGATCTTTTGCATAAGGCGTGTGTTTGCGTGCGGAGCGTAGCGAAATTCGCGTGGTCAGACGAAAGAGCGGGCCTGATGGCCCGAGTCTCGCCACGTAAAATAATTAATTTAATTCAATCCGTCTGGACACGGAGCTTCGTGCGCCTTTCACAAGGGAGTTGGAGTTCTTCCCGAGGGTATCTCGATGATCGTCCTCTCGAGTCTTGGCTCGAGTATCTGGAGCAGAAGGAAAAAGCGTGGAGACTATTCTTTCAAGAATGGTTGTGCAGTTAGGCGCTGTCTCTTTCTCTCTGTGACTGTGTCCCTATCTCTGTCTGTCTCCTCTTTAGTTCTCTCTATTTCTCAGTCTTTGTGTGTGTCTGTTCGTCCGTCCACCCGCGATCAACGGTACAACGTAAAACGTTCCATTTTCTCCAAAATTGGTAAACCTTCCAATTTAAAGGAACTCGAAGCCCTCAGATTTTGTTCGGGTATTTTTGTTCTCTACATGATGCCTGAATTGCATTTTCAAAATTTTTCCAAAAATGCCTCAAATGTTGATGAACGTCTGTGCATGGATAGCACTAAATACACTTAAAAGCGTGATGAAGGTCTCATTTTCGTTGAAATCTCTGACTTTGACTACAACTACAATATTGAAGATAAATATGGCCGTGATCAAATTTTTGGAAAATATGAATAGTTTTCGTGTATTTTTGTCTGTGAAATATAGGCAATTTTTAAACATTCTCAATTTTTATCTTCAATCTCAATCTTTAACCTTAAATTTCCCTTCGTATATCTCAAAGGAAGTTAGGGAAACTAGTGTCATTTGCCGAAAACTCTGAATTCTCAATAATTAGCGGTTAAAATTCCAGAACTACAAAATGCATGTCAGATTTTTGTATTAACAAAATTTGTTCTAAAAAATAAAAGAGGTCATATCCAATGTTTGGAAATAAGTAGTTAATATGTAATTTCTGCTTGACATTATTGAAATTCATAAAATAAATTTCTGAGACACAATTTCACTTTCTTTAATTTTTTTCCCCGGAAAAAATACGGGCTTAAAAGAAACGAACGGTGCAGGTCTCATTTTCGTTGAACTATCTAAACTCCAAAAAAATAGCGAATACAGAAATAATATGACAAAGTATGTGATATTGAAGAATCCCAAGTTCAGTGTTGTTCCTAAAAGGGGACATGGGATTAAACGTGATTTACCAATACACAAAATGAATCACTTGACACTATGGCGTATGTTATTTATTATTTCTTTAATTATTTATTTATTTTCAATACAACATACATTGCATATTGATGCTTTTATTTCTAGCACTAATTACAGTTTATATACAACATTGACTTATCGCATTTCTGCAGAATGATTTAATTGAATTATATTAATTTAGATTTCACGTTAACCTGTCACAAAAAGTGTCAGAATTTGAATATTAATATCTCATTCATTCTACTAATTTAAATATTACATCCATTCTATCCTATCTATATAGTATTTAATGTTTCATTCATTTCGATCCAAAGCCGTGTACAAGGGCGTTGATCGTTTGGGGAAGGAAGAAGCTTTTTCGGGGGTCTTCGCTTTCTGCAGCCCTTAGTGAATATTCGACCATCCTTTAGTGTTAGGTGTTCTCACCCGCAGGTACATTGAAACAATTTTGGAACATTGGAACAAAAGTGAGATGGGTACTACTGCATCCCATGGTTCGTGCGGTAAACCAACATTCGATGGATAGAGCCAGAGTGTCCCCTCAGAGTGTCCCCTCAGAGTGTCCCCTCAGAGTGTCCCCTCAGAGTGTCCCCTCAGAGAGTCCCCTCAGAGAGTCCCCTCAGAGAGTCCCCTCTTCGGCTCCCTCTTCGGCTCCCTCTTCGGCTCCCTCTTCGGCTCCCTCTTCGGCTCCCTCTTCGGCTCCCCCTTCGGCTCCCTCTTCCGATACGGCTTTTTCAGCGGCGCCGTCGTTGTCGGTTATCTTATTTCCTTCTAAAACGACATTAGCACCACTAGCAACATTCAAACCTTTTAATTTATTACCGAATATCATGTTATCAAATAGGTATGTAGTTCCAGTGTTTAGTATATCTACACCGGTACCATATCCACAAAAAATACGATTTTGTACCACACGAACCTCCTTTTCAGTGTTTATGTGGACGCCACTACCTGCATTCCTCAAAATATCATTGCAAAACAACATCGCCGTGGCTACAATGGACACACCATTCTTTCTGCCATTGAAAATTTTGTTCTTATTTATTATAGGGATTGAATCGTCCTCGATGTGAACACCAGCTTCGCCGTTGTCAAATACTTCGTTGCCCTCTAAGCGCCCCGCACCACCATCAGATACAAAAACTCCTCCGTGTCCACCACCCCATATTTTGTTTCTAAGTAGTAATGGGTTACTTGCAGATTTTATTATCACATTATAGTTTTCATTGTTAAAAATGTAATTCTCTTCTAAGCGACCGTGACCATGAAATTCAAAATGGATCCCGTCATTTCCCGAATATATCTGATTACGTCTCATGTACGTCCTGCTACCATTACTAATCATTATTCCGGCTATGGAATTTGAGGCAATTTCATTTTCCTCAACCACACCTTCACTTTGGTCATTAACATAAATTCCATAACGAGTTCCACTAAGAATCTTATTCTTCCGAATAATCGGGCTACTATTGTTAATTAAGATCCCCGCCAAGGAACTACCAATGATTTCATTTTCTTCAATCACACCTTTTCCGCCGTCGGCAATTTGCACACCCAGGAGACAATTGTGCATTTTATTACGCTTGATAGTCGGTTCACCGTCGGTTGATATTATCACGGCAGGCGAACTACCCGAAAATATTGTGTTTTCTGAAAAAAAACCGAAAGCCCCCTCTTCTACGAGGACACTGCTCGTCTCTGCAGACATAAACGTGCTTCTTAGTACAACAGGAGACGCTCCACCAGACACTTCAAAAGCAGTCACATGACTTTTATATACTTCGATTTGTTCAAATACGCCCAGCGCACTGCCGGAGACTTTGATACCAGTTTCACCTACATTATGGACGACATTTCGGCGAAAGGTTGGGTTTGCCCAGTCTTTTACCCAAACGCCTGTCAGCCGAGTGTGGCAAATTTCATTATCAATATATGTTCCTTCGGCTTTGTTTTCAATACTTAGACCTTGGAATCCACACTCCCTGATTTTGCAATTTTGTATCGTGGGCTTTGCTCCTTGGCCGCTAACTCTGACAGCTGACCAATATTCAGAGGAGTTTTGCATGATGCAATTGTCTACAGTCGGATTACAACTTTCCAATATTTCTATGCAGCAATACCCGTTCTGTTCAAAATTTGGTGCGGGCTTGAAGGTTAGTGTAAAATGGCCCACATACGCCTCATTTGCACCCTCCCTAATTGTCACAGTACTTGCAGATTTGCCCTCTAAGACTACAGACATATTCACTTCTTTCGCAGCAGCGCCAATAAGGGCCACATTGAAATCGATTAAGATCTCCTCCTGGTAGGAACCAGCATGTACGAAGATCAGAGCATCGCGACCAGACGCTTCGGTGTCAGCAACGCGCTCTTTTGCGAAGGCCAGTGCGCTCGAGATGGTGTCGAAATACGTCACTCTCCGGCCACGAAGTTCCCTTCCTTCGAAGGAGGGCCGCACGTGGACCCCGTGGTACAGCTGCCGGAAGCTCTCCTTCCAGGGGTTGCCGTCGCCGCCCTCCGGGTCGTGGAATTCGAAGGCGCAGGGCTGCGGGTGGAGCAGCGGGCGGTCGTATTGGAAGACCTGCTTGTACAGCCGCCGCCACAGATCCGGGTCGTCCGCGAGCTCCCGAAACCGACTGCATGCCTGGGCCATGCGGCACAGGTCCTGCTCCAGGAGCAGGTGAAAGATAATGCGTAGGACTTCCTCCGGAAGGTTGAGGAATTTCGAAAATCTGGCGTTGTGGTAGGCGTTGCGGTAGGCGATGCGGGTGGCGCTCCGGGTGGCGATGCGGGTGGCGCTCCGGGTGGCGCTCCGGGTGGCGCTCCGGGTGGCACTCCGGTGCACTCCGAGGTTGGGCACTCCGGGTGGCACTCCGGTGGGTCGGGTGAAACTCCGGGTGGCACCCGGTGCCTCCGGCACCCGGTGGCCACTCAGGTGGCACTCCGGGTGGCACTCCGGCACTCGGTGGCACTCCGGGTGGCTACTCCGGGTGCCTCGCGGGCTGGTGCGCACTTCCGGGCGGCATCCGGGGGTCGGGTGGGCCCGCGGGCGCTGGGCGCTACGAGTGGCACTCCGGGTGGCACTCCGGGTGCGCTCCGGGTGGCGCTCCGGGTGGCCTCGGCGCGCTCCGGGTGGCGCTACGAGTGGCGCTCCGGGCGGCGCTGCGAGTGGCGCTCGCGGCTGCGGGGCGTCCGGGCGGCTCGCATGGGGCGGTGCGGCTGGCGCTGCCGGCGGCCGCGCCGGGCTTGGCGCTGCGGCTGGCGCTGCGGCTGGCGCTGCGTGTGGCGCTGCGTGTGGCGCTGCGGGTGGCGCTGCGGGTGGCGCTGCGGGTGGCGCTCCGGGTGGCGCTCCGGGTGGCGCTCCGGGTGGCGCTCCGGGCGGCGCTCCGGGTGGCGCTACGAGTGGCGCTGCGGCTGGTGCTGCGTACGGCACTGCATGAAGAGCCAGTGTCAGCAGTGGAAGAGTTGCAGGTGGCTCTGGAACTGGACGCGGAGCTGGACGGTAAGTCGCCGGCGATGGCGTGGGGGTCGACGGCGGCCTGTTCGTCTCGCTGACTCCCCGTGCGCGCTTCCTTGGGACGCGAAACAGGGCTTGGCTCTCTGCTCGGCCTCTTCATGGCTGCTCGCGCTGACGTCTCAAGCCGAATCTGCGCACCAGGACACATTCGGTTACACAACTATTCAACAGAAACTGATTTTCTTTGTAATTGAGCTTATCGGAACATTCGATATTAAACGTGTAGTAAAAACAAAAATGCTTATTTTTTGGTAAAGCCATACGTCAAACCCTAATTTTTTCAGGATTGCACTGATGTGATATTTTGTGACCAATCACGTATTTACTGTGTTAGATATTTCTCATCTCATCCAAAAACGAGGTAAGAGCTGATTAACGCAGTGATTGTCATCGCAAACAACGTTCAGTAATAAAATCGTAATAGTGCGTTAGAACGATATCTCGAGCAACGTAGTCCCACAGACACAGTTTTACAGACACAGACACACAGACACAGACCCAGTCACAGTCACACAGACACAGACTCAGTCCCACACACACACAGGCACAGTCCCACACACACACAGAGGCACAGTCCCACACACACAGAGGCACAGTCCCACACACACACAGGCACAGTCCCACACACACACAGGCACAGTCCCACGCACACACAGGCACAGTCCCACGCACACACAGGCACAGTCCCACGCAGACACAGACACAGTCCCACAGACACAGACACAGTCCCACAGACACAGACACAGTCCCACAGACACAGTCCCACAGACACAGTCCCACAGACACAGTCCCACAGACACAGACACAGTACCTCAGACACACAGAGGTTTTGAAATACTTTTTCGGTATGAGATGCCCCAAACGCGTGTTTTTCCGGTAATTCCGTTTTTTTCGATGATGCGGAAAACTATTTTCTGCATCATTACATGACTTTCTCAACACTACATATATTACTCCGTATATACGTATACGAGAAAGTAAAAAGGAATTGTTTAACTTGTTTTGGAATGTGCTTCAACAACATGTTCATGAAGCATGTTTTTAATAGCAATATGGTGAAAGAAAGTTTGTCAAACTGAAAAGGCGGCATTCTAGTGTTCTTCACACTACCCAAAAAATCAAGAGAAGAGTTCTCCATTCTTTTATTGGTAGAAAGAAAATATTGAGGAAAATTAGCTATACACATTTTCGTTGCGTTTAGCAAGCAAGATGTATGCAGATACCCATTCACAAAGTAAACAGGCACTGTAGATTAAGGAAGGCTTCCTTTAGTTTTTCGTATTTCCATTCAGAAAGCGTTCGGAGAGTTATAACACGTGAATATTTTTGATCGAAGTCCATGAATTGGCTTTGAATTCGCACGAGTCTTCTCGGTCGAGTTCCTGACCTTGCAAGTGTCTTCTTCTGGGCTTTAAACGCATTCCTCCGCCGACCTTAGTTCCGCCATGGTACTGGATAACTGCTCACTCTGCTAGTAAATTTAGAAATGGCAAATATGGCAGCGGCAATTACGGAATCTATGAATTGGAAGGTCGTTACATCGATGTTCTTTAAAGCCCCATCAGTTGGGCAGAGAGACCGCTCGAAATGTGGCTAGTCTGCTCGCCTGTCTGCTCCTATCTAGTAAGGAGATCGAGCAGGGGAGACAATGACAATTTTGATACGCAACAAGGCTGGGTGATAATATCATGTAAATAGTCAAGGGCAGTGCAATCCACTGTTGAATCAAGGTATGGGCATAGATACTTAAATCCATGAGTAAGAAGACCCAGGAGAGAACTGAACAAATGGTATGTAGACCTATGTTCAATAGAATGAGATTGTAATTTTCTATGGTTGTTCCTACAACGGTTCCCTCTCAAGTTCGAGAGTAGCTTCTTAGAGGATTGTGGGCGTTGAAGTCTCCAACTAGAAGGAAAGGTGATAGAAGTTGAGAGATTACATTTGAAAGGTCTTCATCCCATACCTCTTGATCCTGCGGCATGTAAAAATTACAAACAGGAGAGGGATGGAAGATTGACACGCACACATAATCTGACGTCTGGGTTGGACACTAAATGGGGGGAAAAGGAGATAATCGCGAAACAAGACGACACCATCATAGGGATTATTAACATCGAAAATGATACTGCAAACCTCTTAGGGATAGTCGGTTGCTTAAAAAAGATGTGTTTCCTGCAAGCATTTGTTTAATAAATTCTTGGCTATCCGGGAGACGCCGTCATTGCCCTGAGGAAGCCTGCGACATGTCAGGGGAAAAGGCTCTCAGCCAACGACTAGGCGTCTCCCGGATAGCCAAGAATTTATGGAATCGAGCCGCGGAAGCTTACCTGTACAATATTTGTTCAACTCTTCTTTTGCTTGTAGTGGTAGGAGTAGAGGTAAGGGTGAGTTACAATTTTGTTAGCAATGCAGAAAAATTAAATCTGCAGTTTACCGTTGCAAATACGTTTTCTATAACTCGGGAACGAAAATGTCTAGTTTTTCAAATGTAGCAAATCTCGCACATTTCAAATGATATTTTAATTTATTTATTTATCTTTAATTTTTACTCATCTTCCAACTATTTATAGTTAAATGATGGGAATGGATACTGGAACTCAAGAAAACTTGCGCTGATGATCTTCTCCCCCATATGTCACAGTTTTTACTGTTTTTGACTAAATAAATCGAAATCTAAACATACAATAGAGAAGGAATAGATTTGCTAATGGGCTCGTAAATTATTTAGATTCCAGATAGGAAATTCATTAGGAGCTCCAAGTTTTATGCTTTTTTAATTGCTAATTAAAGCTTCAAGTTGTATGCGTTTTTATGCGTATCGAACACTTTTCTATCTATCAATACACCAGGCCACACGATTGTGAAATGTAAGCTGTGAAATTAATAATAAATAAAAATGCGTCTAAAAATACCCTTCCGTACTTTAATGTTTGTTCAGAGGAAAAGTTAATCATTTCATTTATGAGCTCATTAGAATTTTGTAAGAGTGTCGAAATAAATATTAATTTTTTTAGAAAAGAAAAGGCTGATAATTTATACTCGTTGCCATCAATTCAACAATTAGTTGTAATCCACAGAACTTCCAGGAATCTTAGTTCTGTATAGAATACCACGTCCAAATGCCTCAGGCAAGGAGAGAAATGTTGTATGTCGAAACCTATGATTAAATTTAAAAGTGAAATGAATATGATAACATTGACTGAATTTATGAGCATAGCTCGGCAACGAAATAAATAATAACATTGATAATAGCAGAGGACGAAATCCCTCCTAAATATCCATAAGATAGTTTGTAAATCATATCAAGATGTATTAATATTAATTTCAGTATGAAAAGTGGTAGAGAAATGAAGACATCAGAGGTGAACTACAGATCTCCAGCATACTGAAGAAGATCGACTCAACGAGGAAGAATTGGTTCGAACACCTAACCAGAATGCCACAAGAACGGCTTCCCAAGACTATCCTCGAATACAAACCAAAGGGGAAACGATCCAGAGGCAGACCCCACACAAGATGGAAAGAGACTCTTGAGAGCGGAACGGGCCACTAGGCCCAAACCTTGTTGCTGATGATGATGATGATGATGATGATGAAAAGTGGTATAGCAGAGTATTCTACATATTTAGAAAGTGTTATGTTAAAAACTAGTGAAGCTGTAACTTCACATACTTTCTTGCATATAACGGCTACGCAATATTATAATTCATTAATCTTCATAATTATTCTTCCTAGAAAAAAATTTCTCCGTACTAGGAAACCAACTCAGGTCCTTAACACATCAGTCACATTATCCCTACACCAGAAGCTTTACAAATGTTCTCCACTTTCCGACGCTTAGAAAAAGTTGGATCATTTGCATTTGGAATTTTCAAAAATTCAGTGATTTTCATTAATATTATTTCGAAATCTACATTAAAAGAGAATATTTGATTAAGAAACCAAAACCTCTATCATCAATACTGTAGTTTTAAAATGTTGATTTTTGTTGGCAATTTTGGAAAATAAATTTCGCCAAACTCCAAGCTGCACCATTGAAGCGTCTAATGCTCTTTTCGACGAAAAAAGTTGTAGTGGTTTTTCAGAAAATAACTGCATAAATGTTGCCTCTATTTCACTTATGGAAATTATGGAAATAAATCTCATATGTCGGACAAATTTTATGACTATTTCAAGATCTGTTTTAAAAACAGATTTCATTATGGAAAAAGCCTTGTCAATTTGTAGTTGTCAAATCTCGGCAAAACAATGGAATTTAAGCAATTTTCAAAAATAAGAATATTTGGGGAAAACTGAGACTTGAAATATGTTTTAATTACACGAGAAAAAAGTTTAACTAAGAAATTGTTGCCTTATTGAGAAAATTTTGAAAATATTGAGACTATGTAAAGAACCCCTATAAATTAATATTGGCTCAAACTTTCAGGACCTCAGTTCGTCTTCATCGATCGGGGAATATCAGAGGCCCTGATTTCCAAGGGTGTCAGAGGTCTGCATTTTACCGGCCAGTGTTCTCTCGCCTCTTCTCTCAAAACAACGTGGTCGAGTGACCTTCGCAGCCTTTGGGGCCTCCCGGTCGCAGGTGGCCGGGCGAAACCGCCCAGACTGTTGCGTGTCGGTAACCGGCGAACCCCATTCTGACAAACTGCGAGATCTGGCAAGAGTTTTTTTTCCTGTGTGAGCGTTCGGGTTCGCTGGAATGGCCTAGCGCAGAGAGAAGGAATGGAGCGCGTAGAGCACCGCAGTTGCGGCGGTATCCAGCCATGCCCTTCGGACCTTGAAAATCCGAGGACGGGCCACGTGGAGGTGTCGCGCCAGTTTGTACCCACATCCGCAGCAGCTTCGCAAGACTCGTCCGCCACGTCGGAGTATATATCGGATGCTACTCGTAAGTTCTAGACGAGGGAAGGAGTATTGATTGGTTTTTAAAATGAACAATAATTTCCATTTTACAAATTTAAATTTATAAACGAAAATGTAAATATTTTTTTAAATTATAATAATTCTAAAATTCCACTACCAGATGCACTGGAGAACTTAAAATGGATCTGCTGAAGATCTACCTGTGAATTCAAAGGAAATGTATTCATGATTTCGAGATAATTTTTATTCTTTCCAAAGTCTAGA